AAACGGAGCCCGAAATACAGGTCGAACAGACATGGAGAAAACATTTGTAGAAAATTCTACACGAATCTGTGCGCACCAGTATTTCAGCATCCCTAAAGAAGAAGCTTTATAAACTGTTTTTCAGTCCAATGATTTCTTGTCACGAGGAGGGCAATTCTGACGTTGCACCATTCAATGGAAACGGGCGACGCCTTCCCAGGTGAGAAATCATTTTTTATTTTTCGGTGAACGAAAACTCGTCTCGACAAACAAAACAAACGCAATTCAACATTCCCACACAATGCATGATTTTTTCTGTAAAAAAAAAAGAGACTCTAAAACTGGTTTCTTTTACAACATTCCGCGCTCATACATCTGTTTTGCAACACGGTAATGCAAAAGGAAGACAGGGATCAGCAACAAATGCCTGATAGAAATCATAAGCCAAGAAAATGGTGTTGCTTAAGGAAGATTAGAGCCGATTGGAACAAAAAAATCAATGAAAGTGGAAAAAAATGGGAAAAAAATACTCAAAAATGTCTCGGCAAGGGCTTCTGGTGAAAGAACTGTACAGCTGGCTTCCCTTCAGGCAACGGAACGAACCACAAAATTACGAAGAGGGCTAAACACCAAGCGATATTAGTCAAACCCAACTTGAAATGTTATCAGCTGCATGGACGAAGATATCATACATCACAAACTAAGGGGCATTAAACGGTTGAAAATTTTTTTAAAAAAATAGAAAAGAAAAAAACCCAACGTGGGATAAGATTACAAAAGTCTGGAAAAAAATAACGATGAGTGAAAAATAACAATGCTGTATTTTTGCCTCTGCCTTAAAGTCCTGAAACAGAAATATCAAAAAAAAAAAAAAATCGAAAGATCACCAACTGATACGCTGAGCCGATCCATCATCTCTAACTGCTATAATTTGATTTGATGAATTTTAAGACAAAAAATTTGAGGAAAGAATAAGAAATGTGAAATCGTGAGAATGCAGAAAACACAAGGTCGTTGATCGATAGTAAAACTGTCGATTATATTGATCGAGGTTCAGATAACGAATTATAATAATTGTACCAAACAGTCCAAAAAATTCCAAAAAAAATTGGTGCGTACCTGTTGGAGAAGTGCCAAGCTTTCCTCGTTCACTGCGTCAGCTGTTATATTCATCGGTAATCCGGAGAGCGAAGATCCTTCTACAGTCGACGTCGTGGGCTGTTGCTTCTCCATTCAGTTAGCTGGAAAATTTTGTCACTGGAAACAATCCATTCAAAACATTTTATGTGAAAAGTGGACAATAACTGTTATGGCCATAATAACAGGGTGGGAAAACGGGGAGC